TAACTTTAATGAATCTCCACCTAATGTCTTCAAGGAGTGTCATATTTGTGAATACGGCTTGGTCAAATCTTTACTTGTTTCTGCTCTGTACACAGGTATTATAGATTTGACTTTGAAGACATGTTCAAGGGAGACCAGAAGGATACAAAGATCTGTGATATACTGAAAGCCGTCAAACCATGTATAGGTCAGTACCTGTGGTAATTACAATATATTATTACTTATATATGTACTAAGATCAACATTTGTCTTATTACTTTTTCGTTTGTCATATACAGGTACTGACGTAAGACTGCTTTGGAAAATGTACACTTTTGTTTCAAAATTTTCTTCATGTATGTCATTTGATGTATGCAAGTAACTAATTTCAAGTTTTGCAGAAACATTTTCACTAAATATGCATGTTAATTAATAGAAGATAATTAATTTGGATACTTCATCAATTAAAAAAGTTATTTTTTGAGATGCTCAATTGTCTTTGATTGTATTTCTTTACAGGCAACAAGAAATACAGTGCAATAAGGTCACAGGCATTGGATATTGTAGAATTACTCATTAAAAAGATAGAAAGTGTTGGTAAGACTTTATTGATTTATTATATAGATACAACATAAAGTTAATTTTAAGAGCCATTAACAACATGCAAAGCAAAGATTATTGGAAAATAATTTAATTCAAGTTGTAACATGTAATTTTATTGGATAGCAGATTTTATCCATTTTGTATAACATAACTTGCCTATGTCACAATGAGTTACGTCAAAAAACGTATTACTCCGCTTGATGTTACTTTTAAAATATGCTATATTTGAAGTCATTTAATGGAGGAAAAATTGTCTTATTGTCTACACTGAAATTAAATTATAAGGAATGAAGCTTATTTCAACTTATGTTATACGATACAACATAACTTGGGGCAGTTTACGCTTTTTTATAAACTGTGTAAACTGACCCAAGTTATGTTATATCGTAGAACAGAAGTTGAAATAAGTTCATTCCTTAACGACGTTCGATCCTGATATTTAAAGTCTTAAACTTTTTTTGCCAAGTATATTTTTAGTTTCTACATACATAGCTTAATTAACAGTCAAATCAAGAAATGGGGGTCAATATGCTTCTTTTGACGCTTCAGTACATTTAATATGACTTTTTTGCACTGAAATTTGTGTCTTAATTAAAAATTATATTTTTGACATTTTCCCTCCAATATTTTTATCCAATTAAAGCATGCACCAAAATGAACCCCAAGTTTGTTTAAAAAAAGACACTTAAAAATTGTGACGAAGAAAAAGTTTTAAATTGCTTCGCATAATCAATTATTTGACCTTTCTGCACTAATAACAAGTGATTTTTCTGGCATTGAAAATTTAATAAGCAAGAAAATTATTTTGAAGTCTTAAACTTTTTCTGATTTTAGCAAATAGGCCAAATTTATCTTGAATATTTAGAAAAGAACATCAAAAGCGGGGGTATATGATGTAAATTTTCAGATATTACTAAAAAAGTGTCAATTTTACGTTAAAATTGGCTCAATTTTCCCCCGGATTTTCAGAATATATTTACTATATTTGTCACACTTTGTTGATAGAATTCATAAGAAATAATTTAATAGATATTTCAGAACCAGCATAACACATTTAACTGCAAAAAACAGCTTTTGTGCAACCAGGATGAAAAAATAGGAATCCAAAATTAACAGTACTGTTATAGTTCAAAATGGAAAAACTGATCATTTTCGCCTAAAAAACCTTCCGCCACAAAATATAGTCCCTATCTTAATTCTACTTGAATGGAATTTAATCGATGTTTTCTCATTGAATATAGTTAAATTTGCACTGTAGAATTCAGATTTAATGTTAGAACTTAAAAATGATGCAGAATTTTATAAATAAAGGACCTGACCAAATTATGCCCAAAATCTCAGGATTGAACGTCCTTAAATAATACAGAGTGTTTTTAGAAAGTAGGATCTAAAATGTTAAAACATTTCAGTTTTTTTAAAATCTAAAACACTTATTTATGGGAGAAATATATTTTATTAAACTTTCTTGTAAAAATGTGAATGGTTTAGATACATTGTACATTTAACTTTTAATAATAAACTATTTTTATCATCATCTGTACATGTATGATCAAAGTATTATTAAGATAACTCTTATATGAACAAGTTGCATCATTACACATTATTTGACTCTACAGGAGCCAGTCCCTCCTCCGTGTTGTCGGTTGTTGATCTGTCAGAAGAGTTACAGAACCTTCCTAAAGATCTGACAGATAGAGGGCGCTCCATACAACAGAAACTCAAAATACCAGAACCAATGGAGACCTCATAATGACTGTGATAACAAAGCATTCTCTGATTAATACATGTATTAAAAACTTATCTTTCCTTTAAAGGTGTTGTTTTATTTTCCATGCATGTTTGAGGAAAAAGAAGGCTCAAATTACTATATAGACTGCTGCATAATTGTTAATGTATCTGTCCATTTTAAATTCCATGTTTAGTATATCTATATACATATACTTGTATATCTTTTCTGTTGACCTTTTTATTCAAGTAAATTGTCAGAATATTTCTTGCTGACTATAATTTTTAGACTTTACCATTTTTTGTGGGATTTACTTTTGGCAAGGGAAAAAACTTGTCTATCTTACTAAAATTTTGTTTTTCATCCATGGGAAAAGAAACAACGGAATAAAATAAAAACAATCATTTTTACTTGTGCTTTTAAATGTTCCCTGGTTATAATGCCATATATGGCTCATGACAAAGGTTTAGTTTCTCAAATGAAAGTCAGACCCTAAGCCCTAAGGTCAAGGATACCCAAAGAAAGGTCTTGTCACAAGGAATGTACCAGTGAATATAAAAGGCTGTCACCAACCAATCACAAGTTATGGCCAAGGTAACAGTTTTTCAAATGTAGGTCAACCTCCAAGGTCAAACGGTTTAATTTTCTTGGAGAAGCAGACAAACAGACAGAAATCACTTCTTCGTGGGGTTTAATTTGTTTTTTAGTTATGGAGAGACCCATGAATTTATGACCACCACAAAATGTAAATTCTGATATGCATTACTACCAAACATTTTCCAACCATAAAATCAAATCCCCACTAACCATTACTTTTACCTCAAATCTTGGAAATTTGTCCCCACGAAAATGAGTGTTTTCACAGTATATGCCCCTGGATTGTTTATTATGGTGGCTTGTAGATTCAACAAGCCAATACATTAACAAATTCCTGGGAATTGATTGTTTCGCACCAATTTATGATTCTATCTGAAAAGTTTTCCAATGTGACACAGTACACATTTTGAAAAGTTTGCCAAGAATTTACCTGGCTTTACCAGAAAAGCTTAAGTTTGCATTGTCAATGAACTATTATGAACATATATTGTTAGTGACTTCATGACAGATTTGCGACTGTATAGCATTGCAACTATTAAATGGTAAAGAATGATGAACATAGCTGTCCCTAAATCCAGAGACATGCTCTTGTTCAGGCTAACAGAGTTCTTTATTTTGTTACATAAAGACCAATAACCAAGAATAAAATTCGACAATTTTATTTTCATGGCTTTCTTTTAAAAATCACATTGGTTTATTTGAATTTTAAAATCAGGACAACACAACCAAATTGAAATTAAACAAGTTGAAGTTTTTTTATCTTCTTTAACAATCAGTGTGTAAAATGGTTTCAAGTACATGTACCTCATGAAAAAATAACTGAAAGACATTTGGTGGAGAGAAAAAAGCAAAACAATGGATTGGTAAAAATGAAATGAGATCATTTAAAAACTACATAAGATTTTACATTTAAAGAAATGACTGAAATGTCTGTCATGTTTCTGTCACACATAGGAGTCTATTATGGATCTGAAGCAAGATTGTAGTGAAACTGAAAAGGACATTTATTTTGTGACACCTGTGTCTACAAAATCAAGATTGTAACGAGACAGTAAAGTATTTACTGTGTGAATCTAGTGACTTGAATAATCACAGACCAGACAAGTACTGAATATACATCAAATGTTGTAAATGTCTTGGATTTATGTTATACTAAAACTGTTAAATAAAAATAGCCTTGTAGAACTAGTAAAGTATATTAGCATCCATGATATGTATTGATAAAACAAAATCATACTTGATCAATATTAATAAATACGTGTCACATAAAAATCAATTTAAGCATACACTGTAAACAAGACAAGAAATGGACAATCACATAAAGATAACATTCTAATCAATAATCTCAGTCTGTAAATTGTGCAGTATTTCATGTATACTGCAAGTTATTGCACTTTATAAATACAAAAAAAAACTGGTGGATATCATTCAGAAATATTTTGAGAAAAAAGAATTTACAGCATAAATTAAAAATTTTCAGTGTTTCAAAGGGAATCCAATTGAACCTTAAAAATTTGCCTAAGTAATGGCACTTTGTTCTTCTGCAGAAGATTTGTTTCCCAAGATATTATGTAGCCCACCCCTGAGGATGCTTCTATATAAAATCTGACTGTCCATGGCTTTGCTGCTCTAGAGAAGATTTTAAGATATTTTTTCTTGTATATTCCCATGTAAAACTTCAATCACACATATTAACAAGATTCTAACCCTTGAACAAACTTTAATGTACTTTCTATCAAGAAGCTTTCATATCGACACAATTTTCACTATTTCTTAATTATCTGTCCTTGGGAGTCAGTGGAAAAGGGGGGTGGCCCTTCATCAGAAAAAAATGAATTTTCTTTACTCAAGGGTAGTTCATGCCATATCTAGCTGAAATTAACATCAACTGTTACATTGGACAAATTCTGATCAGAAATGCTCACTTGAGCCTTTGACTCAGGTGAGCTAAATACGTGTATGTATCTTTATATTAAACACAAACAATTTCATTGACATTCTATGAAGGCAAGTAAAAAGCTTAAAATAAAACATTTCAGGTTTGACTACCGATCTAGTCATAACATCACAAACTATTTACAGAATAGACACATTATTATTGCACCTCAAAGCGTTTTCGTTTCGATGCTACATCATCCACCTCCTCACTAGCCTTTCTTTTCTCTGAACTGAACACAAGACGGCAACCTCCAGATTTACGCACCTTCCAGTAATGTCGAAGATCTCCGTTCTGTTGGACAGGAGTGACCTTGACCTTGCACAGTTTAAGTTTCATGTCACTTTGTTGAACAGCGCAGTACACATTAGACAAGGAACTGCCCCTGGAGCGTTTTCTGTGAGACTTGACCAAATGGACATTAGGGTTGACCTTCAGACTGTTTAAGTTGATCTTGATTTTGATTGGTTGTTGAACTGGTTCCTGGCCCTGTTCTTTTTGATGCACATTTGGTTGGTTCTCTTTGTTTTCCAGAAAGTCTCTGAGGGACTCGTCACTATTATTGTCAGCTTTACTTACACAAGGGGAATATGTCAGCCTTCTGTTGACTGGAACCTTAGTTTGGACGACTGGCTGGGGAGTTTCTGACTTAGTTGCTACCAAGTTGGCATTAGCTGCATGTGACACATCATTGTCTGAGGAATCTGTTACATTATTTGACACAGGATTTGTATCGGAAGATGTGAGACAGGAGGCAGAATTCTTAGGAGACACAGTCACTGTCTGTTGATTCTTATCACAGTCTGTGCTTGATATGGACTTGGAATCCCTTACTGAGGATGTTGGTTTACATATTGGCTCAGTGGTGAGTTGATGTGGATCAGAGGGCTGAATTTTGGTGTTTTTATCAGGGATAAATGAATGGGAGTCCTTGTTAGCATTTACACATGCTGATTTGATGTCTGCCATCCAGCGGTTTGCCAGGTCTGCAAAACTAAGATTATCTGGTGCATAGCTTGGGGAGTGGATGGGACTGAAGTACATATCAGGAATGTCTTGACGCTTATTGTCTTCATTTTTATGTGAAGTTGTTACATTACTTTCTTCCTGTACATCTTTCATTTCTTGATTTTGTAAGTCTCCTCTTGGTAAGTCTAAATATTCAGTGTTATTTTCACATTCCTGTTTGTCAATGCAGTCAGTTTTATTTTCTTTGTAGAAACTGACTGTAGTTTTTGTGATGGTGTCCTGGTCAGTACAGCTAGTGAAAACTTCACCAGATTCTGTCCTATCCTGCTCTCCCTCCTCTTGAGCAGGCACTGATGCTTGATATCCTTCTTGATGTGGTTCTTCTATTGTTTCATTTTCATGTGTTTTATCACTAAGATTGAACTTCTTTGCAAATGTCTCTAAGGATGGCAATTTCAGCATAATTTCATCTAGTACCTTGTAATTGGTGATATCTCTGATGAATTTCAAATGTCTTTCACTGTTTAAGTGCTGTCGCAGTGAGCATTTGTACCAGTGGTCACATGCTTCACAGAAACCCCCTCTGTTGGAAACGGGTAAAGTCTGTTTCTGAACAGCATAACGATTGACATTTTCTTTTGACTTCCGAACTAACATAGCATTTTTATCAAAGGGAGATGCTAAGTCAGGATCATATCTGACTTGTGGAAAAACATCCAAGTTTTTAATGAGAGGCCTGTAATTTTTTAAAATGTCTTCACATTTCACAATTGGATAATTCTCTTTTTCTGCCCAAGTCAGGGGTTCTATTCCATCCAACATCCCTGCCTTGTTACGACTTTTCTTCTCTTTTGACTGAATGCATTCTGTGTCCTTCAAAAATTTTGTGACTTTCTGAATTTCTACACCAAGCATATGTGCATTCTGCACTGGGTCATTTGGAAGACTTTTACGTTTTGCAGCCTTAAGTAAAAGAGCTTTTCCTGCAATGAAAAGAAATATACATTGATTCAATACTTACTTCAAAGATGCCTTTACCTGTTTTTATACTTGTTAATTCAACAAATTTATACATGCAAAAAAAGTTATTTTGCAGAATTGATTTCAATATATTTCACAGTCATATAGAGATTACACAACACCTCAATATAAATTTACAAATAAAGACCAACTTGGCAAGGATGGATGAGTAGGCACATAAAAATTAAAATGAATTTAAATACTGGCCAATATTATTTAAAATATTTTTCATGAATTTTAGTTTAGAGGGAGAAAGACTTGTGCTTGATTTACGTTTACCTCTGCTAAATGGAAGCAGCTGCTTTTGTGTAACGTCTGAGGCTGGGATTTCTTCTTTGGCAATGTTATTTTTATCTGTAAGCACCAAATTCACATCTTTTGACAAAAACTGCTCGATTTTTCCATGCAACGACAAAATTCTCTGTACAGCTTTTGCTTTCACTTTATCGGAAGAAATGTCGAGATAGTACGTTGTCTGTGACGATGGAGCAAACTGGAGTTTCCTCCGAGCCCCATCGTTTGAGTTCAATTTCATTTCTTTTGACTCAAACGACGCTCAAAGATTTTCCACCATCTGCCTTGATTAAATTCGCCGCTCAAGCATGACGTCACAAATCTCTTCGATTACTAAATAACTCGTACAATATTTTTTCTCTTTTTTCTTTCATCTTCTATTCTCTTTGTAAAATAAAAGATTTCATTGAATGATAAATTATTGAAAGAGTATTAAATCATGAAATTCATTCTAAAAAATAAGCGGAATATAAATTGAAATAAACGAAATAATATTGAAATAGATTATATACATCGGGTTCAATGATCTATGAAAATTCCGATCCCGACATTAAAAATGGAGTTTGACACATGTTGTAAACATTGAAGTATCATATTTGATATGGCTCTTGCAGGGAATGTTAGGAATACGCTTCACAAGTTTATTGGTAAGGAATTCATGTAGCCTTTTTGTCAAGGGTATCAACAAAGAAATTCGTATGAATCAATCGTTTTTATCTTTTGAAAGAGGAAGGTAATGTTTTGATTTCTATTTGAATTGTACATTGTATGAAAATTCTTGAAAGTATTATTTAATTCCTTTGTAATTATCTATTTAGATATAGGTGTGAATTTGACAGGTGAGTGTTTCAGATCAGTAACCAAAATCTCTCTCTCTCTCTCTCTCTCTCTCTCTCTCTCTCTCTCTCTCTCTCTCTCTCTCTCTCTCTCTCTCTCTCTCTCTCTCTCTCTCTCTCTCTCTCTCTCTCTCTCTCTCTCTCTCTCTCTCTCTCTCTCTCTCTCTCTCTCTCTCTCTCTCTCTCTCTCTCTCTCTCTCTCTCTCTCTCTCTCTCTCTCTCTCTCTCTCTCTCTCTCTCTCTCTCTCTCTCTCTCTCTCTCTCTCTCTCTCTCTCTCTCTCTCTCTCTCTCTCTCTCTCTCTCTCTCTCTCTCTCTCTCTCTCTCTCTCTCTCTCTCTCTCTCTCTCTCTCTCTCTCTCTCTCTCTCTCTCTCTCTCTCTCTCTCTCTCTCTCTCTCTCTCTCTCTCTCTCTCTCTCTCTCTCTCTCTCTCTCTCTCTCTCTCTCTCTCTCTCTCTCTCTCTCTCTCTCTCTCTCTCTCTCTCTCTCTCTCTCTCTCTCTCTCTCTCTCTCTCTCTCTCTCTCTCTCTCTCTCTCTCTCTCTCTCTCTCTCTCTCTCTCTCTCTCTCTCTCTCTCTCTCTCTCTCTCTCTCTCTCTCTCTCTCTCTCTCTCTCTCTCTCTCTCTCTCTCTCTCTCTCTCTCTCTCTCTCTCTCTCTCTCTCTCTCGTGTGGTGTTTTATTAATTTGTTAGAATGATCTAACTGCCTCTCAGGTCAAGCTACTACCACAAAACTATAACCATCCTCACAACTTCACAAATTACATTGTCAAAGGTCCTGAGTCCACTTGTGGCCATGGGATCTATGACAAACCTCATTGAGTGCTTTACAGGTCCTACTAAACAGAGAACCCTAGAGAACTCTAGAGAACCTTAGAGAACCCTGGGTTTATATGGTGAATTTTTATATGTTTTATGCGCAGTTGAGTTGATTTGTATTAAATAAATAGTATTTTATACATAAAATCAATTAGAAAGTTATTTTATGGAAGTTTTCATCGTTTTTTCTTAACAAAATAGATGGCGAAATATTTTTTGACATCCCGATCCCGCTTGAATTTAAAAAAAAACATTGTTTATCACAATAAAAATTTTTATCACGCAATTTTCCAATTATTTTTCACATTATTTTTTATTTAATTTTAATGATATGTGTAATTCTTAAGCAATTACTCTGATCTTAAACATATTAATTAATTTCTTACTAGTCTTATCATAAAAGCTATGTTGAAGTTTTAAGAGATTATAGTACTCTTTTAAATAAGCAAAAAACTTGTCAAAATATATTTTTTTAAATTTGATTTTGTTTTAACATGATATATTAGTTACCTAAACTATAAATATTTCATTTACAGACAATAAATAATTTAAAATCAATAGGGTTCTCAAGGTTCTCTAGAGTTCTCTATTTAGTAGTACCCAGTGCTTTACAGGTCCACTAAAATGAAAACCCCTGGTTGTTATTTTTATCTCACAACCAATCACATTAAGAATTCTGGTGCAGCACATACATTGATACATCAAATGCTACTTCCTGTTTACATTTTATGTCAGAATTCAAATGGTGCTTTGCAATGAGAGAACCCCCTATAAAAATAAGGGTCCCAGGGTCATAAGTAAGCTCAGAACTCCTGACATTTTGAGGATGGCTAGCAACAAAACATTTGAAAAAATGATCATTAATGTTTCATCGTTCTAAACACTTGTTTTTTCAGACCCCATGTTCATAGGTGTTTATCATAATTCCAAGAAACATCAAGGTATGATATATATTCATGAACATGCATTACATGCTGAATATCTAACGGCCAGGTGTAAATTATGGATACAATAATTTTGAATTTTATAATTATTTTGAATCTCAGAGATCTTATAAAATAAGTGTTGATGATTTTTACAGATGATTTTGATGATGTGGTGGCAAGAGCTAAAGATGTTGGTATGACAAAGGTAACAGATTTATATAAAATTGTTATAATGGATATCTAGGTTTGCTCTCTTACTACTTGTTTATGTGAATTAATCGTTTATTTGTTGAAACAGATGATGATAACAGGAGGCTACCTTGAGGATTGTAAAGAGGCTTTAGAACTGGCCAAGACAAATGGTAAGGTTGCAAAACAAATATACATTAAATGAAAAGGTAAATCAAAGTCTTTCATCTCATCATTTAAATATTTGAACTTCACTTGTCTCCAACAATCCAGAAAATAATGCTTGGTTGAAAATGTAAAATTTTGAAATATTTTAATATATTTTTAGTGAAAGCCAGAAAGGTTGTTGATTCAAGAATATGATACATGTATTTTGTACCTTTAATCTGAAACTGATTGTGTTGAGATAGTTTTTAAACGAGCTAAAATGAGGATCAAAGACAATCTAAATATTCTTTAGGGATTTGATACTATCGGTACACAACTGCACA